AGCCAAACCAATAAAAGAACATTCCTCCAGTGCGCTGCATGAAACTAGCATCCCATGGTAATCCCCTAACAGCCCATAATGGTGTGTTCTATAAAATTTATGACGGTGTCCATATGACCTTATTAATTTAATGGGATCTCTTGGTCCATTTGAGAACAGGTTCCAAGAAGTCAGCCATGAGACGAAACTCGGTTCCATGTTAAGCCGCTTATGAAATATCGGTTAGTATTACTAAGTACTGTTGGATTTTATTGAGTGCTTTATGATGCATTAAGGACGCGCCTTCCGTGTGGATTAAAACCCATTATCGTTATTTTATTAGGAGACTCTTGAAAATTCTTTAATACTGCATAATTCACGTATTTAAACCGAGTAGAAAAGAGACCATTTACGTTTCTATTTCTACAAGAATTCTTGAGGCTAGTAAGGCGCCTTTCAGAATATTATATAAAAGAGACTTTTTATCGAACATTTCAATCGTTCATTGATATTTTTATCATTGTCACGATCTCCGATATTTCATCAAACAATTGCCATTACACGAAATAACTTTCAGAATAATCGGTAAAGTTTGGCATTAAACGTTAATCAATGGAATAGTTGCTACTCCCACATTGGTCAATATAATTAGACAGTGCGATAAGATCTGGCGAACGGTAACCAATAGCTATTTAAATGTAAATATTTGTGAGATAAGTTGAACGTGTAACCATTTGCACCTTTGTTTGCCCAACCGGCCAACTATCAAGCTTAACTGCTCAAATAGGCACAAACGGAATTCAGTTCACACATAGCTAATGTTATCTGTTATTACATTCTGTGTGTAAACTATAAGTTACATTAAAAGGTTTCCTAGCTTTTCAATACATTTTCACACGGTTTTTTAAGATCGCAATGCGAATGCTGATATAATACAATACTCTACAACTTAATTTGTTATGTAATCCTTTGTTTTATTGTGGCAAAGTCTTAATGCATACAGAAAAGTTCATCGTAGAAAAAAGAATGTTAACAGGCAAACTAAAACTTTATTTCAACTATAAATAAAATTTGATTGAAAACAAAACCTTTATTCGCTAGTAATATGACATAGTCATTGTTATTGGTGTTACTATTAGTAACTGTAGAAATTTTAGTATTAGATACTCAAACAATGTTAGGGATCACCCCAAACTGTGTTACTAGTCGAAGGTATTATTATCTGACAGCTGTTTCACACAAAACAAATGTTGTACTTAATCTAGGGACTTAGTCTACGTCTGTAGCATTGGCGTGAGATCCGAGATAGCAGTGACAATGAGTCCACAACAATTAAACGCCGCATTTAGATAGCTGGAACAATTCACAATGGCACGTGAGAGGAATCGCATGGGAGATTTTTTCTCCTTCCATTTATACTGTGTATAGGTCACACACAGTATTCAGTTGTTCACGGCTACGGATATGGTGCGTTTAGCGCGGCATTTGTGCCAGAACTAATTATTGAACTGCAATTAAACCGACGCGAACCACACCGGAACGGTTACGTATTCTTTGTTATTGTTATGTAGTATGGTCGCTATTGTAATAAATTTCAACAATCGTCAGATTATGAGTATCTATTTATAATGTAGGCTGCTGACCGCCCAAACGAGCCAGTAAAGGCACGTCTCTCACGCGTGAATCGAAACACCCGTTGTGGCGACGCATTCCACCGAAAACTATTATAGTCATGACATTTTACTACTATTATGAATTCGCTATTTTAATATGCGCTCTAATACGTTGACATTTAACACATTTACGTGCGCCATAACTGTCCCGCTCGTGCTTTAGCTCGTAGAATGGCGATTTTATCACGAGTGGCCATTTAAACCTCGTTTTCTGATTTGGTATACATAAAACTTTTTTATTAATGATCTATTTCCTCGGAGATGTTGTCGGCTCGGCCAGTTTCGCCGTAGATTCCTAACTCATCGTTGCCTACACTTGCCGATTCACAAAACTGGTTCCGCCGACCCATCCACTTGATCTTGAGCGAGTGTTGGCCAACTTTCACGAGATTCCTCTTGGGGCCCGCGCCGCCGCCCGCGGTCGCTGTATCGCCACCGCCTCGTGAGAACATCTGACGGAGCGATGTCGCTCCGAGGGTTACGCGGTCGATGTGCCAACGTCGCGACGCCCTTTTTCCTCTTTCCTCAATCTTTACTTACTTTCCTTCACCATAAATGCTGCGAAAACTTTGGAAAAGCTTTCATTTTATTTGCATTTGATGTAGAGTCAACCCTTGTTAATTCCGGTCGACAAAAAAGATACAATAGCACCTATCAGATACTTTATGGGAGAAATACTATACCTGATAAACATTATCGAATACTTGACAGGAATTTCTACTTGAATGATTAAACTGTTTCATTTTTTAGTTTAAGCTCGATGCTCCGTCGAGTTCGAATAAATAATAAATACCTAATTATAAACAGCAATGCTAATAAGATACGCTAAGTTTACAAACGTGTTATTTATTAAAAGAGATCGTTGACCAAATGAATATCTATAGTTATATTTGTGAAGGCGGTAATAAAGTTTTGCTATCTAATATCTAGCGACTTGTTTTTTAAATATCCTGTCGCATATGTTTGGCGAATATTTAGAGGAAGCGTTTGCGTGGTAAGCATTACCTAAGCACGACCATTTCGAGAACAAAATACTCTTGAATATAAATCCGATATTTATTTACACTTTCCAATGTAATTTAAGTTACTTCTTAATACTTAAGACTCTTTTGTATTCATGAATAAATAGAGAATGCAATACAATGGACAATTTAAATACACATGTCTATGAATATGAATAATTAATTGCTTCCTTCCGCTGCTGTGAGATCTTTTGCATGAGGATTTATAGTTACGTGTTTATTAAGTTAGACAGTTGGATTAAAAGATTCTGCGAAGAACATGGAACTCCATATTGAACAATAGAACTGATGATGTTGGTTATTCATTTTAATTTAAATCCATCTGTTACTTGTTTATGTAGTTGTAAGTAATAACATTTTAAATAGAAAAAAATATTTGTGTGTGTACATTGATGACAAAAGATTACACTTTGCTAACTGACTTCCAAATAGTAAAGAAAACTAGTTTTATAGTCGTATTTTTTCTTAAGTATATTAAAGGCACCTGTTAGGCGCACACAGTTGGCAAGCATCCTTATAAGTTAAGACGTTAATGTCTCGAACAGGCCGCCCGACTTTACCTGCGTCTAATTAAAGGCATCTCAGGAATGTGCTGCGTTGACACTCGAGATCTTTTACGAATCCGGCCGCCGAAACAACCAAAAACACACCCTACCACCTTACAACACAGACGATCTTTCTTCAACGTGTAATAGGAGATTTATAATTGAAATCTGAACAATAGTAAATTGGTGAAGTTTGTTGAATATCTTTACGATGTTGACACAGTATACCCTTTGCGAAAGTTTACGTTTAATTGTTCGTTAGTTCAAATAGTGTTGATTTCAAAGGGATATCGGTGAATGTTTACGGAAGGAGCGTATAGCGGTTTCGTTTTGTAGGTACATAATGGTATTGGAGGTCATTGTATTTCACATTCATTTGTTATTTTATAAGTATGTATTGTGTGGCGTTATCTAAACAGTTAAAATAAATTTGCACAGGTCATTGAACTCATGAAAGAGTTGTGTAATAATATCTATTCTTTCTTTGAAGTACCTATTCATTTATATAGTTTAACACATAGCTACGACTATGGCACACATTTATTGCATGTTATACACACATACGCACATGGTATCACATCGCAGTAGCCTAAAGCTGTCTAATTTACTCGTATAGCATGTAAACGAAGCACAAAAATAAGAGATAAGTCTTTCCACTATCGACTTTATTAAAAGAAGACGGTTAATAAATAAGTAATTATCTATAAAAAAATACTAACTTATTTCCACACGATTGCAAAGTTTTCTTGATAATCTTTATTAGCATTCACGACGAGCGTCCTGTTCCTATTCCACTCCTTTCGTATGCGGCGCGTTGATGTTCTTTTAAAGGCAGATTCGCTCGCCACGATCTATACCATTTTTCTACTCAGTTGCTTCATTATTTTTTTCTTGCTAGTATAGTAGGAGAGTTGTGTGAACGCAGCATAGAATGAATATTCGGATAAATTTATTTTTATGATATTTTACTTTATTGAATTTTGTATTTTAATGTGCGCAATTTAAGATTTTAGTTTGTTTGACACTTTTTAAATGTTGTTAATAGAAAGATAATAAATAATATTATTAAAATTGTTTTCGATTAAGAAATGTTGCTGATTCACAGGTAAGATTTCGTACAACAATTTTTTTTTGTTTGTAAACAATTTAGTGTAGGTGTCCACTTTGGCAGGTAGTGATTATAATAATATCTATTCAGGAAGTTTCTTCAAAATTTTGTTTATATCGTCTTAAAGGTAGATTGAAAAGATCATTGAACTGTCTTATTTCTTTAGCACTAAGGATTATGTTACTTTAGCTTTAATATCACAGATAAGTATATATTTATTTATGTATATGTATATTTATTTATTCTATCTCCTAATATAAAAATATGTTATTATTTTATTTTACTCAGTTACTTTTCGTCTATAAACAAGACTGGACCGGCTACGATAGTAAATACCGATGTCAAGGTTCGAATCCCGACCGCACGAGTGGTCGTGCCACTCTCAAAACCACTGACGTTATCGAAATATTTAATTATACCTACTTATGTAAAATAAATATTTATTTATTCGATAAAGAAATGTCACGATTATTGATGATAATGAGTTTAGAATAGTTTCGATAGTCGCTCGAAAAATGTTAATATAAATGAGATTTATAAAATATCTCCGTGTGATACGAGCTTGTATCAAACACCTACCATATAAAGGTGTTTTCGACTACCGATACCGTTACTAGATAGATACAAATCGATATAGTAGAAAGTATTGGAAGTAAAGTACACACGTACGTACCCTGTGCTAGTCTGTAGTCAATCTCTCAATCCTTTTAATGTGGCACTAATTCACTGAACACGGTCGCACAAAGTATTACGTACGTAACTTTTTATCTCCACCACAAATTCGAATTTTAACTTTGCACTGGCACTTTTAACGAACCTACATAGCACTGGAGTACATGGCGTGATTTAAGCATTCACCGAACGAAGGCTGTATCACCACAGGCTTTACTGCCAACACTTTAAATGCACATTTGCCGTCACAAAAACAACACAAACGGTTCTCTAATTCAAATTGTGACGTGATGAACACAACATTGCTGAAAACCGACCGTTAAATCGAATAAAACAAACGCTGCGTTACAACGTTAACTTAAAACTAAGTTAGGTCCGCTACGCGAGAAAGACCGTTGATCCAGTCGGCGGTCGATACAGCAGCGCACTCTGCTTTACCGACAGTGAAAAGTTCAATGCTCCGTCTCTTTCTACGCGGCCCCACGAGACCAAGACAGCGATACTACTATGGCAGTATAGTGGGAGAACTTACAACCTGCGCCTGCGCAAAGCCTCTCAATACAACCATAGCAACAGGTGAATTGTGCGCATGTGTGCGTGTGTCGTGATGGCGACGTGTGCGTGCTTTCTTGATTGTGGTTTAATGATAACGTAGTATTTTGTTCGGTGCTATTTTATCAGTTCCCCGCCACGGTAATGATCCGACTAGTATGCAATTAGTGTTATTTATTAAGGTTAAACACTATTTAAATGCTTCTAGGTCGATAAACCAGACGCGACCGAAATTTAAAACTATTGATACGATGCGTTAACAGCGGTATTCGATTTCTCATGTTAATAATAGCTAAATACTAGAATTAAAACAAGTTTTTGACGTGTTACAAAAATGTTAGCTACACCTAGGAGTGGATGTGCTTTTTTAGATTAGTATTAAAATTCTTCCAAGCGTTTAAAGAATTTTTTCCTGTTACTTTGTTTATCGAAGAATTTAAATTCAACTGAGTAAGTAAATCATCAGTCTCAGTAGAAAATGTAAATAAAAATGCTATGAATTCATTAATGTTGACTTTATTTATAAATATTTCCAGTTGAACGGAATTAATTGAGCGACTAGGAATATAAACATTTTTATTTACATAATTATTTTATACTCCGCTACGTTTATTTGAACGATGGTGATCATTTAGAAAGGTAATTGAAAAGGAAAAGAGTGGAAAGATGTCTAATAAAATGGTGCTTAGGTACTCGTTTTGACAGGCGGATGGCAATTTTTTAGCTAATTTGAAGGTAGAATGGTCCCCTTTTCCATTATGACAAAGTAGCTGTTCTCTACAACAATTTGCATTACTGGATTTAAATCTAGTATTATTATATCACATTCTATATTTTCATGACTAGACATAGTCATACGCAATTCCAGAAGATTCACAGGCGTGTTGCCGGCCTTTGCGAAGGAGAATGTAGTATTGTTATAAAGAGGAAAGATTTGTATCTTAGTGTGTGTATATTTATAATTAATAAATGAAAATAAAATAATAATAACAATAATTGTCCGGAGATTCCTTTCTCTGGAGCCCTGACTACCGGTTGCTTGGAACCCTCCCGTAACCTGTGGGATACTGCTTTTTATATTTCTAAGTGTTTTTTTTTTTGTTTTGTGAGGATATTTAAAAATGTAAAAAACATTTTTTTTTAAATAAGTAAAGAGATGATAATGATATAATTTCAAACATTATTTTATAATTAGAAAGCCTACTGACATTTATTTAATACATTGTTGAAAATTAAAAATAGATTTTTGTAAGTCCCCTCGTGCGAAGCTGAAAGTGTAGTTAATGATATTATTTCCTGCTATGAAACACACTTAAAAGGGTCACATTTGTTTTAATACGAAACTGTTATTTGATAACATTTTGACATACAGATAAGCTATGGACTAGATTAGTAACACAGACTTGTTATTCGCATAAGATTAAAGCTATAACTAAACTTAAGCTATACATAATTTGTGGCTTGATAACTTTAATATAAAAATATAATTATAATGCTATCACTATTATTCCACGTAATAAGTTTACTAGGCATAAGGTGTCCACTGCTGAGGAAAGGACTCTAGTCACACGGAGAAGGTTTGCGTTTTAAATCAACACCACGCTTGCTCAAGACAGATTATCGGTTTTAAACTCAAAGTCCAGGTTTCCTCACTATGTTTTCATACACCTATCATTTATGTCATCTTAGAAAGTTTATATGACTCGGAAAAAAATGCATTAGTAGTTGCTAGGTTTTTGAGCACACCCTCATGAAAAGCAGGCGCATTATCCCCAGGGCCACCGCGATACCACTACACTAATACACTTATTGCTCAATAAGTGATCAATGTATACAAATAAAATAAATAAAATAACTATCATCATCATCGTCGTAATCGGCCTATAAGTGCCCACTGCTGAGCAAAGGCCTCTTCTCACACGGAGAAGGTGAGAGCATTAATCACCACGCTTGCTCAATGCGGGTTGGCGATTTCAAACTTATAATTAGAAATAATAAGTCCAGGTTTACTCACGACGTTGACTTTCACCGTATGTCAGTGGTGTCTAAATAATCATAGAGAGTACATATAACTCGGATAAGTCACATTGGTACTTGCCAGGTTTCGAACCCACACCCTCATGCATGAGAAGCGGGCTCCGTGACCTCCGGGCCACCACCACATTTATATATATAGTATATAAATAACTATAGTACCAATAAAAATATGAAAGAAATAAATGAATGCCTAGAAGTATTATAACATAATCACGTTCCTTACGTACGGGCATGAGAAAATAAGATCAGAAATCAAAATAAAGGCCAAGGTCACGAAAAGGTGTCGCTGGCATTAGCAATTAAAATAAGGTACCACGGGCGTGCCTAATACGACAAGGTCTTTTATTAAATATTATCGCAGAAATATTGTATAATAAACTTTTATTCACATACGATTATAGACGATTTGACCTTGAAGCTATATGAAAGAATCTTATTAGGACTAAGTATTAGTCGAAAAAGTAACTTATCCCATGGTACCAGGCTAAAAAGTAGTCTGTGTTTTATTCCATACTATAATATGTTTCTAGGTATGTTACGTTTTCATTCCATTTAGATCTGTCATGTAGTTTTTACTTAAAGCAGTAACAAACATTCATCCACACTTTTTAAACGTTCACCTTTATATTATTAGTAAGATATGTCTACATAAAACCACGTTAAGTAAAAAACTAACAAAATTTCATCACGAATTTCCATACCATTCCATACTGCTTTACATAAATTCTGCTACATAGCAATTTAATACTTGGCCGATCCGGAAACCGAACTGAAAACGTGCAGGAATAGCGCGTGCGACCATTAGCTCGACACTTCAAGGCAATCAGACACTAACGGGGGAGTCTGAATGCAATAAGATCAGCAAACGAACAAATGTCCTGTTAAAATTCACGTTCTCTCCGAGACATAAATTTACTTAGTATTCATTGTTTCCTAATAAGACGGTCGTCTCATGAATAAATATCGTAATTAGGTTCGTACGACGTCCGCGTAACAGGCGACACTGGACGGAAAACTAATAATCTCCTCTCCCCAAGTCCAATTTGGAAAAAGTATTTTCCCCATTAATCTTTATCCGGCCATCAGTCAGGAAGAAATCAAGCAAAAATAAGAAAGCAATTTCGAAAGCTCTTACAAGAAAATATCAGATGACGAAAGTGACAATAATCCTGAGCAGGGGACTGATCTGCGGTCCTATTAGTGGATGGATTACTTTTATATATAGTTCCCAATGTCGGTTACTTCCGAAGTTTTATAAATATCATGTGTATAAATAGAATAGATGTATAGATATTTATTGACACATTTCCGATTAAGTTGAGAGGCTTGTGTGATTCATGTAAATTACCAACCTGATCATGTTTGCAATACTATGAATCTATAATATTTCTCCACATTTCAATGTTAGTCCCGTACCTACATAATGTAAAATCAATAAAGACTTCTACATTAACAAATTCCATTTCGAACTTAATGTTATTTCGAAGAACACATGAAAGTTTAGCTGCTAGACTAAGTTGTGAACTAACAGTATTTCAGTTAGGGGCTAAGGCGACAGTCACCGGGTCGGACTAATGAAATGTTCACAGCACGAAACTGATAATTCGATTGGCACTCCTCGGCTGGCAGTTTTATGGTGTCATCTGTATGGTAAGTCAGTAATTACGATCACCACTAGCTATAAACATGCGCTCACGACCTGACGTCTCTTACACGTCGTCGCTTAATTAAATACTTTGCAAATGTTTGTTGCTTAACTACGGGACTACGAGTACTCGTATCTCGGACCCGTGTTCTTTGGTGTAATTTTCTTGTCGATGTTATTTTATTGGATTTAGTTTTCCATTAGTGTCCTTCTTAATGTCAATAAGTAGCTATTCTCGTGCTATTTCCCACAGCCTGGGTCCTTTTGCTTGTAAGACTATTACATTTTAGCCTACCTATTACGTTCCTTGAAAAATGGACTATCGAACACAAAGAAAATTAATCAATTCAAACCAGTAGTTCCAGAGATGAGCGCGTTACAAACTTTTTAGTTTTTTAATGTGCTCCTATTAGGATTAATAATAATAATTGGATATTATACGAATATTAGAATGATAGCATAGAAAAGCTAATAAAAAGATAACCCATGTTTTATTATATTATTTTAGTTTAAATAGGTAACCTAGTCACGCCTGGCGGGAAATTTTTTATTGATTATAAAATTATTCCTTAACTTTTGCGAAAGTATTTCTTAAGTAACGCCAGGGAAATCCACATCTATTGTATCAATATCATTTAATTTACTCGTTAAGGCATTATATTCTAACAAATAATATTATAATTTTGAGATACTTAATTCATCCCATATTCAATCGTTATTATACATAATAGAGTTTTCTCTTCAATAACTCTATCTACTAAAAAACCCGCATAAAAATCCTTTGCGTGGTTATTGGGACAGAGAAAGCAATTTTGTTTTATACTATACATATACATATAGTGATAAAGCGTAATTTTGAATGTACTCACCGTCGATATACTTCAGGACGAACTGGACATCGGGTCCTAAGGCTGAAGCCACTTCTAGTGGCAACTCGTTGTCTCGTAAAACATGAACTGGAAAACAAACAGTAGTATTAAATTATTAATGCTCAGAGTAATCGCAGTACCACGGATGACGATGAAGCAGGATGTTACTGGATGTTTAATATAAAGTTTTGGGCTCTTTAGAATACGGGAATGCGGGCTGTCGTCGCTAACATGTTTTGGATTATCTAATAATTGTACGATGTCTCCGAAGAATGTCTACCCAGGCTTGGTAATCTGTAGCACAGGTTTTAATTCTAACAGACAACAGTCTCTACGAATGTATTATCAAAATAATTTGTTATTCTTGTAAGAAAAGATTCCTATTGTATGTTGTTAGTTTATAAGTTCGCGTCTTTTATTCTAATCGGGTGGGTACCTTAGTCAAAATTTAATTCTTTCGACTTTTCAGTACAATGACTGCACTGATCTGTCTTAATTTTCTATTTTTTTTTTTATAATATTGTTAGGAAGTTGTAATCTATTTGCCACAAAAATATTGAGGCATATAAATTTCATAGCAGAGTGGTTATTGATATTTGGATATTGAATTTGACTGGTTGGAAAAAATCAAGAAAATTTTTAGAGATTCGAAAGAACACTGGTGCCAAGATTAGGTTGGTATCCTCAACAAGTTTAAATTTGTGGCTATGTTCGTGAATATAATACGTCTCATTAAAATTAAAAGAAACTTATTAAGTATTACTATATTACAACATAGTACTGCACGCCTTCTGGCCTCCCCGTTTAAATCGATATGGATGAGTTTATTAATGGAACATTTTAATTATTTCTAGATTTCCCTTTTAAGTAATTTTAATTATATTTATTTCCTAAATTAAAATGTAATTTTATTTTTATTTATATGTTAAAAAAATGTGAATCAAACTACTTTACGGGATCTTTTTGAGATTAAAATATATTTTCATACGTTTAAATAAAGTATCACACACACAGCTTTCAGATGAGAATAATAATGCGAAATCTCAACGAATGCTCGACAATATCTCACAAAAACAACATCAACGATAAAATGCTCAGGTAATTTAAAAGAATATCAGTCAAACGAGTCTCTTTCATTACAGCAAGGAGGATTGTCTGACTTTTAACAAAAAAGAAAAAATAACTCAAGATTTTTTTTTTCAGTTTGAATTGAAGTCGTTACGTTTCAAGAGGACAACGTCAACACAAAACAGATTCACCGTCTGATTCTTTGATTAAAAGCAACCTTAGGTGTATATTGTACTAAGAATGATATTTGAACTGCGCTGAATAATATGTGCTAAATAATATAGGGGTAAATTACTATTATACTTCAACACACTAGCAGCTTAGAAAGCTGTTGCGTGCGTATTAATGGAATTGGAGATTTTGTCGAGTCTGTTTTTAAAAGAATTATCTGTGGGTGCTTTTATCACATTTTCTGGGAGTTTATTCCATTCCGTGACCACCCTATTAGGTAGGAAGTGTGTCAAGGGATTCAGTTTTGAGGATATTCTGCATAGTTTTAATGAGTGTCCTCTCAAATTTCGATTTTTATTAAGTAATATGTATCTTACATATTCTTAAGTCCAGGAACGTTGTAGCAGTCACTCATGTAAATTAAAGAGATCTATCTACACATTTGCCTTGATGATAAGTGACATACGCCGCCGATAGACACCCCTTATCAAAGGAGTTACATTTTCGTTTCCACCCTTTTAAAAGACAGTAGACAGATAGGTCGGCAAACGAACAGACGAAATACCTGATGGTAGGCAATCGGCGTGCACATAGACATCCGTAACACCAAAGGAGTTACGAGTGCGTTGCGTGCCTTTTGGGGATAAGAGTTTCGGATGTGAAGCTTTGAAAATCATCATTATTTACTACAGTAAATTGTACAAGGTGATCGAAATATTTTTTAAACGAAGAATCCATATTTAGTAACCCTTTTATGGAAGCAATGCGTTACCGACGATGCGTTATATTATACTAGTTTATTTTATCTTTAACTTACAAACATATCTCAGTAAAATTTTATTATATAACTTTTTACCTTTTTGTAAATATATTGTACAAGCTCTGATGAAAGTTGAGATATTAATGTTCTTTTTTTAAAAAATTTAAAGTATTCACGCGTTCCACTAACTTCAACAACTATAACATAACTTCATAGAATATTCCCAAGAATACATATTTTCCTCGTAACCGTTTTTCTTTTTTAATTTACTTACTTGAAGTCGTTTCCAGAAGTTTCCGATATTCCACCCCGAGCCGGGCCCGTGTTTCCGATCCGTTTTCCGATTGTCTGATCCCATTGATTGCACGTTCAGTTCAATAAGGACTAAGGCTAATGGAGTTATCTAGGAAGTAGGATTCTCATATACAACCTTTTCTTTTAGTGCAGTCTTTGGAAGACAATGGAGAAAGGAGTTGTTGTTTGCTATTTTTATTTTCTTTTAACCAGGTGGCCCGACGAAATTACCTATACATGTAGGTATCTGTTAACCACATTCTACCTTATATTTCTGTGCTTAAGAACCATTTTCGTTCAGCTGTTTAGGAGTTATGCACTTAACAACACAATTTGGCGATTTATTTTTCCTTATAGAAGATAATTTGCAGTGTTAGTGACTCTTAAAGAGGTGCAACACAAGCATAGATTTATGTGACTCTACTGTGTGCTACAACCTAATTGTCATGTTTCATAAAGGTAAAAAGTTATATAACAACGCACTCGTAATTCCTCTGTCATTGTGGGTGTCTATGGGCGGCGCTGATTGCTTACCATCAGGTAATAATCCGTTTCGTTTGCCGACATATTAACTAAGAAGTAGTGCAGCGCAACGCCCAAAAGTTCGTAAAATCCAACATAAGTATCTCTTGCTCGTCAACCTCAATCGCAATCGCACTAGTAATTGGACTATTACAAAGCAAACATTCCCTCCATAACATAAAGAACCAATTTTACTGATTTATATAACGAAGTTGTTCAAGATGTAACTACTCATTGTTCTCTCCATTAAACAAGGCGGTCGGCAGTTCTTGATTGTTTGTACGAGAGCGGAGACGGGCCGAGCCCAGACTAAACCAATTGCTTGAGCCCCCAAGTTATAAGATAATTTATGAACAACCATGAAATATTAGCGAGACCGCTGTGTTTAGGAGAGAGAGTACAAAGTGGCTGGGTCGCCTCAACTTTACTATAATATAGATTCACTAGCCTAGTACGTATACTATTAAATTCAAGCTAAAGTTACAAAGCCACGTATTAATAAATCACTTTCATTTGAAAACTCTCTCCTAAGTGCCGTTATCCCCTGAGGTGTGGATTTGAAGAGAGGTGATAATATAATTTATGTTATGAAAACCCTGTTGCCAAATTAAGATGTCAATTTATATTAGAATGAAGACTTTGGAGACAGGATGTTAAATCAATATGAATTTTGTATCATTCGAAGTCGGAATACACAACCCAAAAAACACATAATGACACAATTTAAATAGGTAACGGGAAATAAAATTATATATATCAAGCAGAACATAAAAATTAAAAAGGTCAATAATATGTATATGTTTACAATGTTGATATTCTTCAAATATCTCCGTGTGACCGCAAACTAAAACTAACTAAGTAAAACAACACTTCTGTTGGCTACTGTAAAAATTGTTGTTATTTGGTAATTGGTCTGTATGAGGTCATTAACCCTTCTGATGATTAGTAATGATGTAACCAACGATTTAGCATATCTGCGCCGCTAAGAAGTCAGTTAACCTGGGACTTAAAAGTACCTAGCTTGTCCCCATCTAGAATTCAAATGCTGGCATAGACTACTCTAAACTCAGCAATTTAAAAATACCTTTTATCTGATGCATCTACTCAAGTACTATTCGCTAATGATACTGCAAACCATCCACAATACCTTGAATCGATCCATAAACAATTTTATTAAATTTTCACTAAAGAAAAGGTTCTTTATTGAATATTTTATGTATTAAAATCATTTTTGATGTTTTGGATAAACTGTAGTTTTTATCATTATAATCTTCTAAATTTATACATTACTAATTCCGCAATATAATAAAAATGAAACCTATATTCTACACAAAGTTTAAAACAGTACATGTTCCTACCTCTATAGGTATAGGTATATAGACTATCTAAGTAAGTAACTAACTATTTAGGTTCACAGACTCTTCAATTTCCTATAAAACTATATCAAGGACATCAAATTCACATCAAAGGTCACAAGAAACCACCTACTTACAACGAATGCATACAGCAATATAAAAAATAATTATAATCCTTAATATTTTCCCAAGCGCCTACACAATTTTATAAGCAATAATTACGGCAACACAATGATTGCATGAGTTTGCACCACAGGAACTTTACAAGGGAGCAATTTATTTCACCGACTCTGTTGCCTTTTAACAATAAAACTGCAATTAAGACACAAAATGGGGTCAAATGTATAAACAAAAGAAAGCTAACGAGCAGGTATGAAGTCGTTCTCACACATTGTTTTAGGTCACCCCTTCATTGCGTCGCGTGCTAACCTTATCTTGACCATTCTTTGAATTTGAGTTCGTTATATTAAATTATGGTTGTTATAGTGCAATTTGCGAAGTATGTTTCGCTGATGAGTGCACATAATATGCACTTTGTTCTCATAACTAAGTCTTTCCTGGCATGTTGTAAGACTTAACGACTTCGAAAACTTTTGAAGTCAGTTCAAAGTTTGCAATTGAATAAGAAACAATTTTGCTTGTAAGTTTTTTCGAGTTTGGTTTCGCTTTAATTAGTATAACGCAAGTACTTACTATGCATCGTAAATACTACCTTAACAAACTTGTTTTTTTAGAAAAAACTGCCGTAAATCTATATTTTGCATCTTTATCTTACTTTGACCAGCAAAACAAAAGTATACCTATACGCAAATACAATAAACGTAATCAAAAAAACTAAATCCGAAACCCGTCCATCTGAGTCATTTACGCAATCGTAACACCCGAATATGGATATTACAGCTTATCTATGTCAATAGAGTTCTAAAATATTCCGTTGTTTACTTTTCCATATAAAACTAGCCTTTATACCAACAGCAGACGAGCCTCGTTTCAACCTAGTAAGGCGTAAAGCACATTGAGATCCCTCTTAGTATTTCAACGGATCAAATAAGACTCAAACTGTCTGTCGTCTGCGGAAGGCCTAAGTTACTATTTTCAGAGGTTCCAGAGGTGGTGGAGGCGACATGGGTACTTCTACTACGCCATGCATCGCATAATAAGGCGGCTCTTTGCACCATTACTCTGTACATGGGCACGACGAGTAAATATTTATGAGGCCCATTGTACACAGAGCCAGTTCCGCGATAACATCTCAACGGATAATTACGTTTAAGTACACTTTCACTGTCCAAATTCACATACGAACTTGTAAGGTATCGCCCAATCTTTACTGTCAATTAAATTGGCAATTATATCGTTAGGAGTGGAGAATACTTTGCATTTTTGCTTAATAGGTAGTTCTCAAATATTTGTTTGCCATTTTCGGAAGTGGTTATGGACTTACAAATTCCACCAACGCTCTTAACCTTGGAGATTCCCAACCAATGATCAAAACACCATTACGAAACGGTTAATAAGAGATTACTGCGCGCAAGTCCTTACTGTAATCCATTTATGAAATTCCTACTCACTCTGGGCTTAATTACTAGTTACTTGATAAACCTATACTTTTCCGTCAGCTGTTATTTTAACATGGACGCAAAGAAACGATCAAAAAATAAATAAATGCTCATGTAAGTGTTCATTACTTATCCTAAGGTCAAAACGATTTCAACAGGCGTGCTTGCTGAGTGAATATGACATTTCGGGCATATCTTTCCCACGGACTGCTCGATCGGGATGCAATTACTGCCGTCTCGAGTTTTTGCATCGAAGTAAATCGAGAAACCTTTTCTTCCGAGATGTACCATCATCGATTCTCCACGCAGTGACATAGTGGCTAACGGTGACATAATATGCAAATGTCGTAACGTAGGAATAATGCGATACTATACAAAAACTAGAAATGTTTCGTGGTAATTGAGAGCAGCATTCGATTTTTAAGATAATCTATTCGAGCGTGCCTTGTTATCGTATATGTCAATCATTAATTACTGTAAAATATGTGGATGAACAAGCAAACTAACTTTTGTAGGTGTACACTTAATTTGAAATTCAAATCGGAATAGTAATAGAATCGCGTATTAGGCTGTTTAAAATATAACTCGATTGATTTATTGCAAGAATTGGTATTGGTTAGAAAAAATCTCAGTTTGCGTAGAAGTTGTACTGAAGCTAAGTGGGCCAACTAGGCCGGTATCCCACGTCGTCATGGCAGGGTTAGAGCCCCATCAAGTACTGTTAAGGCGAATTAAAGTGACATCTCGAAGTAACGGACGGGACGTTTTTGTCGAGCCGCATCGCAGGCGCAGGCCGCGGTTCGATTTCCAGATACCGCGAAGTTAACAGGATACTTCGCGTGTTTTTCTGTGCCGGGTCACGGGATAGATGGTTCCATACAAGATAAGTGTTTGTTTCAGAAAATCGAAGAGTTATTGAAATGAAATAATGAGTCGGAAATTACCTATTATCTGTTAATCGTCAGTAATTTAAAAACTGCTGGTGCCATGCTGATGCCGATTTCTCCACTATTTAATGGATGTCATTATACATATAAACTTTCCTCTTCAACCACTATATCCATTAAAACGCCGTATCAAAATCAGTTGCATAGTTTTTAAGTATTAGGGGTATTTATGTACTTTTAGAACATTTCTTAAGATTTTACGTTTGTTTGTTTAGAGCTTGATACGTAAGACTAAGAACTGAATTTTCAATGATTAGATAAAAGTTATCTGGGGAATAATTATGATGCTGTTGCGTCAGAATATCTGGATGAGACAGTGACAGCAACAATTTTATTAGGTACTCAGACTTTTAAAAAATCAGCCCTACGTTTAATTCCAGAAAAAAAGCTTATAAAATATATACAAAGGTAAACAAATGCGTTGCCGTCATGGATAGAGTAATTTAATTACATCTTAACCATATTATAATTGTTACTTAGTAACTTTCATTCAATCAAAAATGTTTCTAATGTAATACTTTTTAATAGCTATAATTATCCGTTGTAAACAAACTGATGACAAACAAACATCATTCCCTTTCATCTTCACAAACATAATGACGTAGGTACGTATCTACATTGCTTAACCGCATTGTAGATTGAAGCTCATAATTACACATATCATAATCACAGATGAGGAATGACTTACATGCACATGTCGTGGCCATTTCGTTGATTTGTTCAGTTCATGAAATGCTTGTTGAGTATTTCATGAAATGCTAGCAATCCCATATTATTAACTCCTCTACATTTCACTTAGGGATTTGGCATCGACAATACTTTACCAAATCACGTAAAAACATTAAACTTTACTGGTTAAAAAATCAAAAGTCGAAAACATATATGTTAACTATAGTTTCCATAGGTATATGTATATTATATCTACAGGTAGTTTAGAAATTTCAAAACAAATAGAATAATGGTTCATTAGTAAAGGTAATGGTAAGTAAAAAGTTATCGCCAATAGGATTGGGCCTTTGGTAACCTCACTCACACGACGCTGTGATTGTTTCACGTTGGTTTTCTATGTGGCCGTGGTATCACTCTGGCCGAGTCGACGCATTCTGCCGAAACCTCTCTCACACAAATGTATCAAGTAGTAGCGCATTTTTAATAAAGAAACAATGTTTAATCATTGATCACCCAATGGTAGACACATACCACATAGGCAGCCATTTTGCGTAATAATCAAGCATTTCATGAAATAGGCAAATCTATGACATGACTTCGGCATACACAATATATATGTTGGTAGGTATACAATATAGCTCATCTCAATTATCTCTCACGAACACAGGATTTAGTGCTCGTCGTTTGCAGATAATCTGGCTAACGAGCATCAAACAAATGATGGCAAGCAACTAAATGTAAGGACTAAGGACTGTTCGTACCCTAGTACCTGAATATAAAACAAGTAAACAAGCCACGACTAATAATTGTAATAAAGAACGACGCAATGAAAAATGTAGATGATTACGACCTTTTTAATTTTTAATAATTTAAAAATAAGTCTAGTTATGTACTTTGAAATACCTTCCGAAACTGGAATGGTGGGGAGGAAGAGGAACATACATTTCTATCATTTCTCATTCAGTCTTTTGCAAAAATATTTCTAACCGAAACTCAAGAACAGGACAAGCAAAGATGAAACTAGACAGATTCATTCTTCAAATATGCACTAACTTTACGACTCCGCAACTTACGAAACCAGAGAACCGTCCACACAGAGCTTCTGACAATATTTTTCAACGAATTGTACATAAGCAGAAGGTGCAGCGGACGCGTAAAAATGATTTATAGTCTCGCGAACTAAAATCCGAACTTTCCGCTAAGGAAACATCGACGTTCACCAAACATAAGCTTGTGGTAATATTTTGCATTCTTAGCTATCCATTGTTATGTAAGTCTTGTTCTCATTATTATTGCGTTCCTTCGGAAAGAATGTTCAGAAATGCTTAGATATTTTTCTAAATACTTAATATTTTATTTAAGTATCTAGAGATTAAAACTTGATATGGATTTTATACATATACGTATGTAGGATTGTAGATATAGATATGTGTTTTATATAAATTGGTATTGTTTATAACATCACGTTTCGCGGTTAATGTGTTAAAGATCGTCAAGACCCTTGATACCAATTGTTTTCCGTCATGAGATTCGTTTACTCGGTTTTCGCCTATCCAGACGCAGTGGCTGCTGTGCAACATCACTTTGTGTGATCCACAAATTTTTGTTCCGGGACTGAGTTTGATGGGTATGTGAATTTGTATGTTTCTAAACGCACCCACGACAATAGGGGGGCAATAGTTTATTTAAACACCTAGTATTCTAATGCTAATAGTTCATTTAAAAAATGTAGATCAGATCAATGTAATCCTACCTCCATGCTGAGGGTGCACGCTGAACAGCAAGCAGGGCTCGTCTCCTGGTTCCCGACAGCATTCCAGGACATCGCGGCAGCTTGTGTGCGGAGTCACCGGTACGTGAGTCGGCGCCCAACCGGCACCGCTCTCGCACCACACTCGCACTATCATCTGAACATAAAAACAAAAGAATATGACAAATGGCCGACAGACTTTTAACTCCTTTGGTGTTATGGGCATTCAAAAGGGTCACTAATAATGTATAATATCAGGTGATAGACACCCAGTCGTTTTCCGAAAATAAAAGTAAAATAGTTTATACTAAAAAATGAGAAATTTTCGTACTATTTTGATCCTTATGTCGAATTGTTCAAGCGTTCGTATTTACAGCTATGCAGATATATGTTTAACAAGTTACATAAAAGTGCTGATAATATATTGTTGGGTAGCGTAACAAAATAATAATCGATTGGTCTGTGCAGCCAAGCCTATCCAAGAAAAGTGTGAATCCTCAAATTAAATCAAACAGACATAAAGAGTACTATTTTTACAAATGACAAAATTATGTTTTTTACTTATACTGGGCGTAATTCCTGTAGCCTATTTTTAGTCGGGGTATCTACTATTTCGGAAAATATTTTCCCAGTAAAACATGCAGCGTGCTGCATTTTTGCGTCAGGCTCTTGACTGGAAGTTCCTAGAAATAGCTTCAACGAATACAAAACGTAACTAGGATGGTTCCAATGATTTCACAAACGAAGCAAAATCAATACCTTTGAACAAAAAGGTTTTGAAGTCCGCACCGGAACTCGTGAAATCCAATAAAGTTCATAGAAGTAAATTCTATTTTATTTATTTTGGTAATCTAAAATTCAAATTAACGTAGGATCTCTTACACGAGTATATATCCCCGTTTAATTAACTATTGCATCTCCTAATAACTACAAGAACAGTAAATCTTTGTTGAATTCTAGCCAAAGCCGTTTTGAACATCCTTACTTCTAATCGTAACATCCTTTTTTTAAGGAGGAAAATCATAACATTACATCTCTCGCCCAAGTCGTGGCGAAAGGGAGTGTCAGCTCTTCCTGACTAAAAATCACCCTGTTCAATATTCTGCTTCAGGCCATGGGTGCGCATTATACTGTTCGATCCCCAACCCCGGCTGAATATTAGCCCTATTGGGCTCGACTGTGGTGATCTAATGGTTCTTTGAAACGCACGCGGAATGCTACCTATCGTACTCAGGCGGCGAGGTACCCTTTGCTCGTCATCTGCCCAGCTACTTATGAAGTCCTAACAAGCAAAGAATGTTAAGATTCTACCTTTCTTACAGCTGCTCTACAGATAAAGTAAGCAGTAACTTTAATAAATATAAGAAAATACTGCTACCAAGCAGAACTCAATCTTATTTTAACAACACTATAAAAGCCTCGCGGAGTCTTCCTCTTGGAACTAACGTAGTAAAAATGGCTGACAATTAGAATTTATACAACGACCACCCTCAGTTTTAAAGCGCTTTTATTTCTTCAAGAATGCATTTTAGTGACATTTCTTGGAAATTCTTTTGTTGTAATGTAAAAGATAGTTTCTACAATCGTATGGTGTTTCCCTCGACCGGAGTGATACAACTCCCGCAACGAAACTCACTTGATGTTATCGGAGACACAATCCTCCCTGTCCCAAATCTCTAACCCCCAAAACTGGCAACTATGAAACAATAAGTTTATTTTTGTAAATGGGGGAAAAAATTATAAGAAACTAAATGAAGCCGCAACGCACTGGCAATTCCTTTGGTGTTGCGGGTGACCACAAGCAGCGCCAATAGCTTACCATCAGATGATCACATAAAAAATAAAACATACAAGAGGCCTGAACTTGAGTGTAATAAAGTTTTCATGATAGCTTTCCTACTAGACATGCCATGTTAAATTTTAAACATCCAACCAATTTGCCATTCGACCATACTTTATGCTACAAAATTTCTCTATTTCAAAACTTTGGTACCTACGGCAGATACCAGCTTACCTAACTGCGCCCGAAGACAATAACTACTAGAATAATATGCGTAATAATTCACATTCCCTACGCCATAATACTTTATCAGTTGTAAGATCACCTAATAGGGACTTAGCCTTATACCGAACCCAATTTGTCCAGCATCTATTCATTCGCTAATTTGAACGCATTCAGCTCAAACACAGTTGAAATTCTTAAGATTTCATACGCAATACTTGTATGGTTTAATGAACAGTTCTCATTGAGACATAGTTGTGGTTAGCAGTGCAATTATGAAATAGTAAATATATATTTCAAAATTGCTGATAAGATTGTTAAGCTTGGAGTTTTACTATCAAGGACATTGGTGGATCAATTTCCCGCTTAAACCAAAATAGAGGCCGACTGTTTTTTTTATCTGTATGTTCAATGACCATAATTTGAACATCATAGGCACCTTTATTACAACTACATTAAAGTTTAATATTTAAGCTAAAGCTTAGTTAAAACATCAATGAAAAAAGTCAGCCATGATGACAGTATACAAAAGTGCTTACTATTTTCTACACGCTCTAACGCCGCAGTAAACTGTTCAAGTTTCCTTAGAATTGGAATTAGCAATTCTGATATATCCCGCTGTCCCACTTCGCACTGAATTTTTATTCCAGTTAGTGGCCAACCCTGAAAATATTACAATAGCTTATGACTACGTAATACCTACGTTTCGAGTCTTTACAGTTGCACATAAACTATTTAGGTGCACATGTTTTCTTTAGCTGCTTTATGCATATTTTAGACTTGAATTTCTTTGATCCAGATCTTGACTTGAATCTAATATGTATAGCTTTTTTGTGTTAAGTAAACAACGAAATTTAAAACAAGTCACTTCCAATTTCCTCAGGATCAAACTAATTTATATGAGGATAATCCAAGATAAGCTTCTAATATGCCTTTTATCTACTAAGCCAATTTGGAATAAACGCTGACATCCGTTTTAGGGACCACTTAGGATGTACTTCTTGCTACTTATCGCAAGTTGTGGGTCGTGGTCTAAGTACTTAATTAATCCACAAATAGGCGCCTATCAAAGTCTATTAAATAGGTTCAATAAAAAAGGATAAGTCAATGCAAGTCTTAAAGCACTGGATGTTTTTCCTACCATGAACCACAACCACAATAAACGTCTGATTGTGGTACATTACGATTCCATATTTGATTTAAATTAGTTGAGGAGTTGAGTATAAGAAAGCTTTAAAAACACCCAATTTTTTATTATTGTTTTTGGATACGGTAAACGAATGAGAAGGATAGCCTAATGGTAAGCAATCGGCATGGCCCATGGACACCCGCAACGCCATAGGACTTACAAGTGTGTTGCTGTGTGATCTTTTGGGAACTTGGGTTTGGAGGTAGCTATTCAACGCAAGCTTTGTTTCACGTTGGTTCACGCTAGTCTACCTCATTCGTAGACGAGCTTAGTTCATAGACACTTAAAATGAATAAAACTTAATAAATATCATTCAGATTCTGAGACTTTTGCCCGGTTTCCGAAAGCCCGATCATTGTTAAAATCAACTAACTAGGTGTCAAATCTCTTGTCAAGTTATCTGATTGGTTTACTGAATTATCAACAACCAATCAGATGACTTGACAAGAGATTAAATTGATTTTAACATTGATCGGCTTTTCGGGAACCGGGTGTTTATCTGTCTAAACCTATATGATTTCCATCGCAATACTAAATGTAAGAAAATGTATGTATTAAAAAAAACTGATAGTAACATAAACAATTGATCAGATCCTAACTATCATTTAATATCACAAACTTATAATTACGTAACAAATCCCACTGAACCAAACTAAGAACTAAATAGCCTATAGAAGTTCAAAGAATGGGTTTCTCTTTGTGCAAACGGCATTATCCCAACGGATCCCAAGACTATGAGGAAGCAACTCATTTACATTCCAACGATAATTTGTGAGATTTTTTTTATAATTAGCACTAGAGTGCGTTCACTTTCGGACATCGTAACACGATGTGATCACACGCACGAGAATAGAAGGAAATGAGTGATGAAGGTAGATTATGAAGCGACAACTTATTGTTGTGTTAAAGTTTCTTTGAAATAAAATAAGATTTTTATGAGAGAATACGTAACAAACGAGCTGACGGGTCATCTGGTGGTAGTCCGTCATCCATGGACACGCGAAAAGCTATAGGAATTAGTTATATATTAGAAATTTGAGGATCAAAAATGGGGAGACAGGAGATTAAAGGGAAAGAAGGATTTTGTTTTTTTTTTTTAAGGTGCCCTACACTGTTATTTTTTTCATGTGTTGTGAGTGCGGTTACAAACACACAAATTCACATACACAAGCCACCCAGACCCGGAACAACAATTTGTAAATGTCTCAAAGACTTGCTCCGTGCAGGAATAGAATCCGCGACACGTTGCACGGCAGCCAGTTGCCCAGTCACCGCACCAACTGTGCAGTCAGGTTTTCGTCTCCGGTAACTTCACTGACATGGTAAAACACAACGCGAACATTATCTCACGCCGGTTTTTTGTAAGGCGATGGTGATATCACTCCAGTCGAGAAGAAATGTGGCTCTTCAAAGCTTGGTTAGACACAGGGCAAATATTGTTTCATGGTAGTTTTATGTAAGACGGTAGTATCACTCCAGTCGAGCCGAAGAATAGGTCTCCAAAGCATGGTTGAAATTTGCCTACATTCTATAAATTAGGCAAATGATTTCTTAAACACTTCCGATTATGATATAGCTCAATTTAAATGACTCAAATAAGTCACTCTCGCTTGTTTTTTTCTTAAAAGTGTAAACAACGTTCCATATGAATTGACTCGTATAAACCGAGTTAAAAATCTCAATGTTTGAAACGAAATCATTTCCGAAAGGATTCATTTTAGCAATCGAGAAGCGAATGCTGGATGAATTTTTCGAACTCTAGCGTAGTTTAATCAAGCCTGTTCGAGTAGCTCTCTACTCCAGACCATTTCACGTACAAATAAGTAAATAAAAGCATACTGACAAAAATCCGTATTTTCTATCGCAGTTTCAATGGAACATGGTCTGCACATGAAATGTGGTTAGGTTTTAGAATAGTCAGTTAATTTTTGTCTGGCAACTTAAAGAATGCTAGATTATGTTCCGAATTTATCACGGCCTCTAAACCGGCGTGAAACAACACAGCGTTGTGTTTCGCCGTGTGAGTGAGGTTACCGGAGGCCCAATCCTTCCCCTCCCTAAATCTCCAAAACCCTAATCCCTAAAAGATCGGCAATGCACTCGCAACTCCTCCGCTGCCCTGATTGCTTACCATCGGGTAATACGTCTGCTCGTTTGCCGACCTATTACATAAAAAAATAGAATTTTGAATCATTGACAAGTTAAAAATAGTAACATCAAAATAATTCATAGGTATAATAAGTATTAAAATCAATTCGAACTTCAATAAGCAATAAATATTCAATAACACCCAGAGAGTGTGACAAGTTTTACACATGAGTAGTAAAATTGAAAGAAACTATAGAGGACAGGCAATTTACAAGGAGCGCGCGATACGAAGGCGCTAACGAGTTACGAACTACCACACTACCGCCACCTGCTGGCAAACTAACGGAAAATCGCATTATTGGAACACCTAACCATACTCCCAAGTGCAACGTCACAAGTAATTTTAGTGACGGATTTAACAGAAGCTAAAGTTATGGCGTAATTTCAAACTTGTGCTCTGTTTCGCTAATATTTATGTACACAGTACATTATTGAAGTTCAGTTTTGCAAACTACATGTTAGGATGAACAGGATTATTTTATATATAGATTTAAGTGTGGGAGAGCCATGCTTCGGCACGAATGGGTCGGCTCGACCGGAGTGATACCACGGCCTCACAGAAAACCCGCGTGAAACAACCACAGCGTTGTGTTTCGCCGTGTGACTGAGGTTACCGGAGGCCCAATCCTTCCCCTCCCCCAATCCCTAAATCTCCAAATCCCTAATCCCTAAAAGGTCGGCAACGCACTCGTAACTCCTCCGTTGCAGGTGTCTATGGGCGGCGCTGATTGCTTACCAACAGGTAATCCGTCTGCTCGTTTACCTACTTATCACATAAAAAAAAAATTTAATAAAAAAAATTATATGTCGTTGTCAAAATTTTGGCAAAATTTTACTAAGGTAGCCTTTATTCACTATAATTATTAACTCGAACTCAGGAAAGTTTCTCGGTATATAGCAATATCATCCCTATATAGTATAAAACAAAGTCGCTTTCTCTGTCCCTATATTCCTATATATGCCTTAATCTTTAAAACTACGCAACGAATTTTGACGCTTACTATTTTTTGACGCTATCTATTTTTTTTAATAATAGATAGATTGAAGAGAATTATTTAAATGTATAATAACATTAATTAAATAGTGAAGAAATGCAGTAGCAGCATTGCAACATACGAAGTCGGGGCGGGTCGCTAGTCTACTCGATAAAGGTATATATGCAACCATTTAGTACCTATACGCATGAATACTTTAAAAACGTCACACAATTCTATTTTTAAATAAAAATCAGTCAAGTTAGACACTAAATCTATACTAATATTACAAAGAGGTAAAATTTGTAAGTTTGTATGTAGGCTGTAATCTTTGGAACCACTGGTCGGATTGCCAAAATTCATTCACTGGTACTGGTAGGTACAATATTCCTGAATGCTATAGGCTATAAAACATCACGGTATGATTAAATGGAGCTGAGCAGCGGGAGAAACCGCGCGAGAGTAGCTAGTTTGGAGATAAAATAAAAGTTCCTTAAATTAAAATACTTCATAAAAACTTTCTTTACAATGTTATTATCATTACAAGCCCATAGGCCACGGTTCTCCATCACGAAACCCGTTATAAAGTTGTTATAAAGTATGACAATTTACTATAACTCTTTATTACATGTAATAAACGTAATTACATAATCAACCTTTTCTTACTAAATTTTTAATGATATTATCAACTGTCTCACGTTAAAGATTACTTTAATAAGTCTGTAACACGCAACCCGCAACATGAACATGCGGGACGTTGTATTTTCCTTTAACGTACTAAGAGAAGTGCTTGAATCCTATGTGAGTGCATTTCGTTACGTTACTACTAACACTAAGATATAAATTTATATTAAACAAATTAAAATTATAATAGCTATCGTGAGACATACTATATTAACTAAAAATCGCGGGTTACTCACGTGTGTAAATTGAGAAAAGCTCTACTAGTTTCGAACCACACGTAGGCTGCTAATAATAGGTATTAGCTTGCTCGACAGTACCTAATTCAGATAAGCAGTTATAAATTAAACATAACATTATTTCCACGGTATTAACTACATGTTTACAAGTTACAGTCTAATTACAGAATAACTGGCACATATAATCGCCACAAACATCTAGAAAACAATTGGTTTTTTTTCACTCTATTAAAAAAAACACCACAGCTAAAAGGTGCTGCGACAATTTATTAAAAGAAAAACGTTCCTGCATTATGCCCTCGGGCTTCCGTTGGCCTTTAAAATAAGCTTAACCTTTGTATTTTTTTTAATAAATTCGCAAAAGATCCCCTCTAAAGCCCTGTGAGGGATTATGTGCGATGGTGACTCACAATTAAGAGGTCCTTTCTGTTATTAAAGCAGGAAATTAAAGATTAATATATGGCTTACATACTTATAATTACACGGGTAGGACTTGGGGCTGCCTCGATCGTCAGTTGAACAAGCGAGACTGCCTAGAGGTCTGGCGGTCTTAGGTCGACAAAACAATCTTTATATATAAAAAAATCGTGTCACGTGATGGACTCCTAAACTACTAAACCGATTTGAAATTTGATCTACATTCTGTGTGCATTTTGATCCAACTTGAAAGCTTACATCTCAATTTATAGTCGCAATATTACTTACCTTAGCCTCAGCAACGCGTGGCTGGGTCTGTTAGTATATTATATAACGTACATTATACACACTTTTTTCTATAGTACATATTACGGGATAATGGTAATCAAGGTTACATTCGTCTTATCATAGCTTTAGTTACAGCAGTCTCAGAAACCACATAGTTATTAAACTGGGCAGCAGCGCTCTCTTATAACCTTTATTTTTAAATTTGGGTTTGGATTTTAGGATATTCTCCTATGTCTTGCGTTTACAAATATACAAGTTCATACCTATATACAAAGCACCCAGGCCCGAAACAATTATTTGTGGATGGAGAACACACAAGGGGTTGTTCTGTGCCGAAATCGAGCCCACGTCACGTTTCACTGCAGCCAATTGCCCACTATGCCATCCAAATAATGGCAGGTTTGGTGTGATATTATGTAAAATTGTATGTCTTTCAACTCACCCACGACACTGGAAAAATGCAAGTGTGGGGGCAACGTTTTTAAAAATTCCAAATTACTTAATAACTATTAATCAACTGATATCTAGGAACTCGAACCTTCCATACAATGTTTAAATTACTAGTTTCTCAATAGCCAAGCGATGTCAAGTGTCCAGAGATTTCTAAACTCCGACAATTCCATACTTTATGTCCCATAGAGTATTTCAAATGCATGTACGCAATTTGTCTCAGACACTAGCAGAGGCGAATACATGATGCAGAAAGCCACACTTGTGAAAATGTTTACTTCACTATGTTCTTTATCTTTCTATAAACATCTTGACGAAAACAAATTTCAAACCTTCCATTAATTACCTGTATCAAATTACAATCCAAAATATGATAAAATAAAGAATAAAAAAACATGTACCTACGTACAATATAAAATAAAAACTATTGAACGGTTTTATTTTACGTGAGTCACAAAATTAATTATTGTTATGTTTAACAACTTTATCTGTAACGACGACGTACATAACTGACGTAAGGTACATGCGGGTATTAAAGCCTGTCGGCTAATAAGGCCTAAACATTACAAATCTTGCTTAGAATACGATTTTACGCTCAATCTCACGCACATACATGTATGTTACACGTACAAGGCGCCACCATACGGCAAGTGTTGGCTATCTCACTCGCTCTCGCTAATGACGTGTTAAACGTTGTCAAAAGTAGCCGCACGTCACGTTTTTACAAATATTGGCTCCGGTAAAACATAAATATTTCTTAAATTATTATACTTATCTCCTTGCACTTACTGTCTGTATTATCGTTAACTTATGCTCGTCCCACATTGCCTTATTCATTAACGTTCTACAGTCCAAATTGTATTTATTTCGTTTTCCATAAATACCTAACCTATGGGCAATAAGGCCTATAAAATTTTATAGTAGGCCTTATTATACTTATAGATATATATTCTTTAATGTTTGCATTATTTTCAAATTATTTCAATAGGTATATCATACATTATTCACAGTTCCTACGTTTACGATGCTTCCTAATCGAGCATTGTGGTCAGAAGATGACTAATCTATGGCATTTCCTCCGAAGACATCGTCTTCCACTTGCACGACTAGAGAAAGAAAAAGAACAATAATATCTGGGTTTCATGATCTCATAAGGCTATTAATTTTCGGGGTACTCCAAAGATCGTTTTGATAAATTTAATGAAGGTAAGAAAAGCAATGCCGAGAATAAAAATACAATTCAGAAGAAGAAGAAAACCAATCTATAATCGATCTAGGAAATTCTAACCTTCAAACACCTTTAAGACCAATTAAAACAAAGTCTTCTCGCGGATCTGATCGAACTAAGGACACCACATGCCTGTAAAGAAAACATACGGTTTTCTTCATGACACCGTATGTTTTCTTCACATACACAGTACCTACACAGTATGGATGACATGAGGCAGTGCTCTCAATGCCCCAAGTGGTATCATGAGGAGTGTGTTAGTTTATCAGTGGATGATTATGATTCGTATGCCCTGGTGGATGTTAGATGAGGCTACTCATTTAATTCTAAAGTATTATTCTGCCATTGACTGGATGATGATTGATATCAAATGCCAAATTATGTTGTTTTAGTTGATTAATTGCATAGTTAAAGAAGGAGGCTTTGTTACCCTACCGCATTTTAATAAGGCCTATTAAGAGCGTTTAAAAAATGTTAAATATTGTTTAAGTTTCATACAGAAGCTGCTATTTTTTTGTTTTAATTTTGTAGATGCCTAAATAAGCGACTTATTACCGAATAAAACTTGTTGATTCTATTATCAGTTTTGATTTTACAACAAATTTCCCTTAGCTAGGCCTTAATACCCTCATGTACCTTATTTTTTTTTATGTAATAAGTCGACAAACGAGCAGACGGATATCCTGATGGTAAACAATCAACGCCGCCCATGGACATGGCAACGGAGGAGTTACGAGTGCGTTGCCGACTTTTTAGGGATTAGGGATTGGGGAAGGGTCCGGGAAGGGGAAGGATTGGGCCTCCGGTAATCTCACTCACACGGCGTAACACAACGCTGTGTTTGTTTCACGCCGGTGCTCTGTGAGGCCGTGGTATCACTCCGGTCGAGCATGGCTCTCCCACACTTTGAAGCATGGCTCTCCCACGCGTATTTCGCGCAAGACTGCTCGTGATTATGAGCCCCTCATATGGCTTGAAATTCAGCGAGTTCCTCAAACAGTAACGTGACTAAGCCGTTAAACAAAATGATAAACTAATTATCGAATTTATGTGCGACTGACTGTAATGGATAGTGCAAGTTATGAAGAAAATTAATGTTATTGTTTAACAAAGTATTTTTTCTGTGAATTCTAACTCTTTTTGTCGGCGAAAATCGTCTAATGACTTCTCCCACCCAGAGTAAGGCCAGAGAGAGTGTCAGACTCTTTCTGACTAAAAACACCCCCGTTCCTTATCCTGCTCTGGGCCGTGGTTGCGGTGCCTCATTGCGCTTACCCCGCCACCCGAAACCCCGACTGACAGTCCTAATTTCGGAATAGTTGGATTTAACCATTACAAGATATAAATATTCCCTCAGTTAACAAACTTCTACTGATCTTCAGTAATCACGCACTTATCTTAAATTAGTATAGTAAAGTTGCTATCAATTTTATCATCCCAAAAACATATTACAAAGACAACAATGTGAATTAAACCTTATCCTAAAAACAATTGGAGATTATTTTGTATTTACTATTTACAGGGAATGTTAACAGAGTAGGCGTATGTGGGAGGTGGACTCCAAAACACTTAAGGTTTGACTCCAATGCTAGTAAATATTTTATGTACTTAGTGCAATCGAATACGCAATGAAACGTCGGTTTAACATGGAAATCAGTCATCGTTATTGCAAAATCTCTAACTATGGCAAATTTTCTGTGTGTCAGTACCTATTGTTTTTTGGTCTAAAACCCCTAGTCTAATGGTTTTTCTTATGATATCTTTTGTTATAATTCGATAAGCAAAAGTATTACTTTGTGTTCCAGTTTTAATAGACACCACAGAATCTCTTACTGATAAGTCCCATGTGTATTCTTTACTGTCTTGCCACCTATTAGCTTAAAAGTCAAACAAAGACTAGAAAGAGTATTTTTAAGCTAAGCTAAGCGAGTTCAAGTACCTACTTTCTAAGATTACCTTGATATCACTGATATACGTTAAAGGAAAACGTCGCGAAGAAACCTGGACTTATAATTTCTAATTAGGACAAAGTTCTAAACGCCACCCGCCAATCAGCAGTGGGCGGGCATTTATAGGCTCATGATGTGAAGTTGTTACCTTCATGTGGTGTATTAAATGTGGTAAAAATAATGTACTATATTCAAATATCAACAGAAAATTAGACTAAATTTAGTTTTGCTTTAGTACAATACATACTCCTCATTGATTTATTATTATTTCTTCATGTTTTATGGACCGCTCAAACATTACACGGTCTCAAGCCGTCACGGACCAATCGTTTGAGACCTCCGTTCATTGTTTAAAAACATCAATAAATAAAGCCCACAAGACGATTCTTTACGAAGGGACCAACTGTATTATGTAAAATTCCACCTAATCACTGTCATCTATGAACTGTCCATCCGTCCGTCAAAACTGAAGGAAACATATAACCGCGTAAGAACATAATGTTTTATTTTGCAGCCAAATAAATATGGTCCTTATTTTGATGAGGTTATGTTTCAATATTTTTACTCTCAAACAGTCGCATAAATAGGAATTCTGTTTAATTTATGAGGCAATATTTATTTACTTGGTATGTAAAAGTTTTGACTTACAACGCAATAGAAAGGCGAGGTATACAAATACTTGTGTTCAGTTCTGCGTCTTACAAAATGTACTGATGTAAAGCTTTCAATATTGTCTGACATTATAATAACACAATAATTTCAACTAAGCAAACTATGGCGTATTTGTCAGTGTTGCTGTGTAACAAAGACATGTACTGTAGTAAATATAATATTATAATATATATAAGAGGTATAATTTGTAAGTTTGTAGGTATGTTTTTATTGTGAGGGGAAAATCATCAAATGACTTCTCCCGCCCAGGGCCGGGCAGCGGGAGCAGGAGATGGAACGGGGTTAGATTTTAGCCAGCAAGAGTCCGACACTTCCTCTCGCCACAACCAAGGCAAGAAAAGAAATACCATGGATTTCTTCTTTCAAAAAAAATGAATTATTTAGATTGCTTAGTTGTAGTTGTATGTATTTAATTAGAATACATTACAAGAACGTAAGTATAGAGAAAAAAGCAAAAGTAGTCTTGCATGACAATCATTCTAATACACCGATAGTTGACATTTAAACCCTCACAACAAAAAGGCAACAAAGTAAATAAAAAAGTCAACTATTTATCTACGACTTACCTAGTAATTATATAAGTTCAGAAGGTAAAAAGATCTTTTAAATACTAAGGTAGATACCTAAAAAACCTTAACAACACTGTCGGTATTCAATAAAGTCTTACTTCCTTTATTACTACAGCAATAAGTCTGGCATCTGCCCCGGGCAGCTGCTAGCGTAATTATTTCTTAGGGGTAACTGGCGTTAAGCAAATTTCTCATTATATTATGTTAGTGCTAGCTTTATATGTGACGTCACGTCTAGGGCTCTTTGTTGTTTTGACGTCAAATTGTTCACCTTAATATTAAGTCGGTTCGGTGCTTTGTTTCAAGTTTATATTTACGAAATCTTTACATAACTTAGCTTAGAGCTAGTCGCTAGTTTTTTATTCTGTTTTATTAGGTCATCAAATTTCTAAATATATTATATGTATTAAAATTTGAACACCTCAAAAATAAATAAAAATAACTCTTGATTTCTTTTACTATCCCAAACGACACTCGTGTTTCTCCGTAGTTTTAGTAGCATTCAATAGTGGCGTGCCTATGTTCATAATCTGATCAGATAAGATTCTTATCTATTTCTACTTATCGCGATACAGAATTAAAGCTGTCACAGACTGAGACTCTTTATCCGACAGTCCTATTTGCGATTACTTGAATAACGGAGCTGAAAACTAAACCTAATATGATATCAAGTAAATAAAATAATATGTATTATTACACACAACGCTGCTCATGAATATGAGCCCCTAGCATAGCTTGAAACTAGTCAAGTTATCCCGTCTAACATTTAATGAGAATAATTCATAATACAGCATTCAACCGAAAAAATATCTAAAATACCTCACGAAAGTTTTATTACAAAAATAATTATGCGTTCAAAACTTACCGGAATCATTGTAGGGGGACATGTGTGTTTCCCCCTTTATTGACCGCTACACCTGCAAAAAACAATATGATATTATTGCGTGAAGAACTCTAGATCATAATACAAGGTCGTGTGGTTCACCACAAACATCATTGAACCTTATACTTATTGATAAATTGTTTATTTGAAAAGAAAAACAAATCTGTAACAGTTATGAGTGAAAGAAAGAGAAAGAGATATATCCCCGAATGTAATAAACGAAATAGAAACCGTTTACAAAAATTAGATCCTCAGAAAAACTTTCAAAATAACAAATTTTCTGTTTAGTTATCTCATTCTCATAATATCTCTCCATTATATACATCTATAGAGGAACATAAAACTCTACTATAAAATCATGGACAAGCTCTTCAAATTCCAATTCATATTCAAATAACAAGGGATAAGGACGTAAACGCAAATGCTTAAGCAAATTATTAGTTATGTGTGGCGCGGTGCTCAACCGGTTGTGTGGCCCGATCTTGATCTATAATCATAGGAAGCTGGCTACCGTTGAACTACTTTCTTTCGATGTACATAAGTGCCATACCTACTCCACTTTGAATGTTAACTGTCGTTAGATATGTAGCACTTTAGATAAGACAACATTTTATGGATCGCATTTTTAGACGTATGGCATTAGATGAATTATATTTGAGAATGATCGCCCATTTAACAGATTTTGACAGTCCCAAAACTGAAGTCGTATTAATCTCAGCAATATAATATGTGACAACAGCCGGTAAGTAAATGTGCTGTATACAGCAATGTTTTATAAATCTACATAGTACGGCACGAAGTTAAACAGCGAAGGGCCTAATATAGTTCCTTGAGGAACGCCCTAAACGCCCGAACACAAACTGCACATGGATATATTATATTTTAACCTTAATAAAAATAAATCTGGAAATAAGTCATTTTATATTGCACAACAATGTATCCAAACGTTACAGTTACCTTGTTGAGAACAATGTACCTAACTGTATCCTAATAGAATTAATATGAAATTATTCTTCATCTATTGTTACATCTTTCGTGTTTGAATCATATTCGCTAAGTTGCAAGACAGGCGTGGGCTGACACGAGTCATTGTTTGTCCCCGACCTAGCCCCTGAATAATAACCGTATTAAAGTCTTAACAAGTTTATCGTACATTCATCTACTTGGCTCGCCTTTTTCTCTTCTAATGCCTTACCTTGACTGGCATACAACTCAATTATTTAATACAGCAAACAGTGAAATTAGCAACATTCTTGTAAATTTACCAAGCAAACATAGCTTCTTATTTTTTATAACAAGATATAATATCTAGCTTGATATAATTTTCCTAAATTGCAACCTACTTATGTAATAATTGTTAGTCGTTTGTATATTTGTTGTACAATTGTTTAAGTTTCAAAGTTTGTCTTACTACAAAAAAATTCAGTACCTACACATAAGAATTCAAGGAACACATCTCGCGAACTAAATATTCATACATTTAAACCGCAAACGTGTCGTATGAACGTGTGGGTGTGACATAAAACGTGTTATTAAGATTTCAACTCTAAAGACAAGCCGGCAGAACATAGAAGTATACAAGTAGTTGCCCGATGTAGGCGTGGTGAAAAGTACCAATAGCAATCATAATGGAAGTGAGGTAATGACAGCAGGAAGAGTGGGACATACTACGATATGCAGCCTCATTTCGAATGCATACGAGCTGTTCTACAAAATGACATGTTTGGATATGCACTTTGGTGTCGCTTTTTTATCGCAGCAGTCTAGTCATGGCCATATTCAAGTCACAAACGCAGTGTCAGTCATCTTTCGAAGGCCT